AACGCGGACTAGTAAAACGCGGACTTGTAAAATGCCGACTTGTAAAACGTGGACTAGTAAAACGCAGACTGGTAAAACATGGACTTGTGAAACGCGGACCTGCAAAGCTCTGCTTCTATTCTCACTTCATCTTCACTCCGTTTAAACTCCAGAAATTAAGATGGAGGTCTTGGCTTTTTAGCGAGAGATGATAGCTTGAAACAAGCCGCCATCTTCGCGTGGCAATTACAAATGAAAATGTTTCCGAATTTTGGCGCGATTTTGGTGATCGAAGGTCAACAAACTCTTTTCCGTCTCGTAGTTTGCTAACCATACAGTTCCCTTTTCTAAATTTACGATAACATACCCAGCACAGCTTTGCTCTTGAGCTGGAAAAGAAAGCTGTTGAAATTATTGCTGAAATGCAATTGTTCCTTTCTCAGAATGAAAGCAAAAGTTAAGCCTCCTCACGTGACATCTTGCGTGACGGAAAGCATGATCTTCGAAGGTCTAGTGTGACTGCAATCTGTAAGATCATGACACCATATGATAACCATGTTCCTGTTGACTTTTTATTTCAGATGTTTCTGTTTCTCTTGTTAAGAATAATTTGAATAATTTGAAGTTCTTCGGGTGAGAGATGATCGTTCCAATCGATAACTGTAGCTGGAAAAGAAAGCTGTTGAAATTGTTACTAAAAGGAAAGCAAACGACGGAAAAAATATGGGAAACAAAAATATTGTTAGAAAAATATTTTTGGCTGTCCACATTAAGTTTAGAATTTGAAGTTTTTAATGCAGCCAAATTAATTGTAATTTATTTAATAGAACGCAAGATTTGTTTGCCTGGAATGGATGTATTGTTACTTGGTGGCTCTAAGTATGTTAGACAGTTGATTAGTATTTGAAGTTCTTTGGATGAGAGATGTTCGTTCAAATTAAGACAATTAATGCGGAATTCGACTTACCAATTCGTTGTCCTAGTCTGCGTTTTACAAGTCCGCGTTTTACGAGTCCTCGTTTTACTAGTCCGCGTTTTACTATTCCAGTCCAGTTCAGTCAAGTCCGCGAAATACAGTATGCGTTTCAGGCACCGTTGGTTTCAT